AGAAGAGCCGGGGTTGCCTACCCTCAGAGAAGTGGGGTTGGTGAGTGTAACAAGCAGGGGACACTGCCCCTACTTTCTATATCTTGAATTTTATATACCTTGAATACCTAAATGTGTTTGTATTTCATGATTTGTGGTGGATAAGAAGGATGACAATTGTATATACAAGCAGATGAACATCTGTTTAAGACGTACATCAAACCTTTTGATGTGGTTTGTTTTTCTTTATCCACATTCTGCTGTGGTTATAAATTCAAATACAGATATGTTCCTTGCTAAATAATATTTAGAAAGATGGGCTTGATATGAAAGATATTTAGCTCCCTGAAACCAACTCTAAATACATCTCATTCTGAATTTGTACGTCTCTATTGTTATGTTATATCTAGCAATAGAGGGAAAGCCTTATTAAATGACTGAAGGGTAAGGAGAAAAAAACAATTATGATTTTGGAGAGTCCATTGGGACATAGTTAAATAAGGACATGTTATGATATTTCAGATAGAAAAATGATTTTCACTATGGGTACTGATATATTGTGTCAATTGGGTAGTATGGGCTTTAAAAATGAGGGACAAAATGTCCCTGCCCTTATAGTTTACTGTCTAGGCCCTATCCTGCAAACATTTAAAGAATGTTGAACTTTTTGAGTAATCCCATATGACAACCAGACAACTTCCATGCTTAAAACTCTTCATGTGAGTACTGTGTTTACAAGATTGGGCCCAATAAATGTTCCTTTGTTGACCTAAATTTTACTAACTTATTTTTTCTCCTTTTTTGGCAGGTCAGGCTCCACTTAGCATGTTCAAGACTGGTGTGTTTTTTTTTAACTTCAACCTGCTCTGCGTCCTGCCTATCACGTGCTTTCTACAGCCAACTTCAGTGCATTGTTTTCAAATATTTTGGGCTTCATAGAATCTCCATGTGTACAGAAGTGTGTTCAGATCAGCTCTTCTTTGGAAACATGTACAATAAATGTAACATATCCATCTAAGTAACAATAGAATGTCTGCCATTCAAAATATTTTCCATTGACTTCATTTTACCCCTTGGCACTGTTAGGTTGGGGCTTCTCTGCTGGCACTGATGCTTTTGAAGTACTCCATGGCATCAGTAAAACCTGACTTCTGACATCAGAATTAATCATTCATCGATAAAGTGCCATCTAAAGCAGGTGATTGTGTTCTACAGTGACTGATTTACTGTATAATATACATATTATTTTATATTTTTACGGGATGAAAATGTGCTGCTATATGATTAAAATTGTGTAAACACATTTTCTGAACTAAATTTCCCTGAAGAAGCATTTTTAATATCCTGGTGAAATCTTTGGACCTGTATAAAATATGCTTTACTGTCATACCTGTTAAAGATCAAACTATGGAATGGAGAGAAATCTGTTAGCATAGCACTACATTTTGAAGTTTAGTGGTCACACAAATGATCTTAAAATTATCTGATCTGCTTTTAATTCTGCCAGTAATGATGGGTATTCCCTGAATTTGGTGGCTAGCTGTGAGTTTGTAAGCATGGTTCATTATGAAAAAAACCTTGAAGAATTGCAAAATGCTGCAGAAATCTTGTCTTGAGAAAAGGTGAGATGCTTCCCCCTCCTATCATGTTTCTGGCAGGCCTTGATCTGCTCATAATGGAATTCAGAAATGGGAGCTAATACTGTTTTCGGTAGAGAAAATTCTACTGAATGCTCCTAAGAATGGATGGGGGTACATATATCAATTGTGCTGTGCAAAGAAAGTTTAGGAAGACAACATGTGTTGACAGCTTTGTGCAAGGGCAAAGAATGTAAATAATTCATTCTGGAACTTGATAATATGCAAATCTGCCTATGGATAACTTTAGCTCATTCATCTGATGAGACTTCTTGCCTTGTTTGGATTCTCTTAGTGCCAGGTATGAAACTTCCATTTTCTCAGCTGGGAGCATTGGAATCACCATGGAAAAGATGGGCTAGCAGGCAAAATTCAAAGCTCTTATGCTAGATACCTACTGCTTTAGTTTGATATGCACATGTGAAACAATACATCTTAAGTAAGAGTATACCCCTTGAATCTTAGTTGCTGCTATATTTAATTCTTATTTAATTTTGGGGTTATTTTTGATGTTCTGAATTTGTCCTGTGTGTTGGTAGACCTATATTTTAAAATTATTTAACCTGCTATAAAGAATATTTAAATATTCTGAATTGACTTCAGATTTTTTTTTCTACTGAAATTAATTAGAAAGCTCTCAATTATAGCACAGTAAGTTAGATTTAATTTATTTTGTTAAATGTTGCACTATTTTGGCAAGCATTTTGTTAAGTATTTAATAAGACTGCACATATGCATTTGTTAATTTATTATGTATTTTCCAAGGTTTCATTTCTTTTTTCTTTGAATATGGGCTTTGGCACCATCTGGAAAATGAACTGTGAACTTCTATTACTGGAAAATGCATATGGTGATTATTTCAAACCCTGTGAGATCTTAATAGCTCTTTATAGGTTTATATATTTAAATTTGTATTAAATATATCAACTTTTTTTTGCTTCTAAAATAGTTGTCTTATAGGAATGCCAACTATCACTTACTATTTTTATGGTAAATCAAACATTCTGTATTATTTCTTCATATGCTGAAGTCATGTAACTGGATTATTGTAGAATATTTTTCCTGTATCCTCCTTGATTTGAAATCTGTTACAAAGCAACATTGGAAAAAATGATTCTAGCTTAAAAAGATTCTTGCCACATCAGAACAAAAAGCATAAACATCCTCTTATGCATAACAGTTTAGATAGTTATCTTGAGCTTCACTGATAAGTTAGCTCTGATGTCTCTTAGATAATCATGCTAGTGCTGATCAGCCAGTCAGTCTATCTAGCTAAGACCACTTAAGTGCCTCAGAGTTAACTTTTTTAGATCCTATGGTAACTAATCACTGAAATGCTGAAGAGGCATATTATACTGAAATCCTAAAAATCCTGAAAATTTATATAGTTTGAACTCATGACTGTGTTGCTATAACTTTTACTGTTGCTAGTATCTTCCATTCTTTTAAGACTATTTTAGGTAAGGATTTAATTTCATCCTACATAATTTGCATTCAACATTTTTACAACTTTTTATAGTACCTTGTATATTTTATACAAACTAGAAACCATGCCTCTGCTATTCAGACCTCAAAAGCCCATATTTTGTGGTTTCTTTTCCCTTTTCTTTTTCAATGTTGAATTTCATATTTATTCTAGATAGTTGTTTGCAAGGAAACTGATTTCAATAATTTAGATTAAATTTAATATCTATAACTTCATACATGGCAAGTTTTAGGAGATACCTTTTATGCATTGATTTTCAATATGAAAGTAAAATACATATTTTTCATATGCTACTAGTGGCATGTTCCCGCTCATTTGTTTATTTTTTAAACTGAGTTCTATTATCTTGTGTTTTTATTCTTGAATTCATCTTTTATTTATTGAAATGTGGTTTTGGTTTTGCTGAAAGTAAGGAATGCTTTAAAAGCTGGAAAGATCCTGGCTGATATGTGCAACCAAGTGTGTATGTCACCAAACAAGGAAGGGTGAGAATAGATTATCCTGAATGTATTGGAAATTTTTTTTAAATGATTCTTCAGTACATTAAAGTCTGTCTACAACAGACTTCTGAGTGACTTTTTAAAAAATTCAGTTTATGAAGAACCAGGAATTAACATACAAATCTACCTGAAAACTGTAAGAGTAACTATAGAATATGTAAAATAATGAGTGTGTCCTCATCTGTTCATTAAATATGAACAATTTTCTAACTCAGCCAAATCAGTCCTTGGATTCCACATATCTGAAAGGAATAAATGTTTGAGGAAATGTTGTGGCTTCGTACAACAGTATGAATGTAATTTTCCTTAGTGAGGGAGGGGGAAGGGACAGGGACAACAAGGAATGGGAAATAACTTTTTATAATATAAAGTAGATACCCAGGACAAGAAAGGGACTCATTAAACCATACTAGCAGGATAATCTTAATTGACTTTTGTTGTGACATTTTTGCTTTAAGGAATTTATGAATGGAAAACACATTAGACAAAAATATTTGTTAAACAAATACAGAAACAGCACTTCAGTGTCTGTCTTAAATAACTTTGTCAATTTGAAATACTTGTCATTGAAGAAGGACTTTGGTGACTGAGACATTCTGTAGAATTATACGTGTCTAGTTTGTATAGTGTGTAGTGTGTACTGCAGATGTGTATTCTCTGGGCTGTGTATCTGTACAGTAGTGTTCATTTTAGAAAATAATTACATTTTTGTGAACACGTTTTTTGGTGGTAACAAGGGGAATAAATTGCCACTGCAGCAAATGATGCTGTAAACTCTTAACAACAGATCTGATTCCTTCTCCCCCTTCCATGGATAAATCTTTTTATCTTGGTTTTAAAATACTATCCATTAAAGATGTATGGATACACTGGCAGACTGCATGATGTATCATTTCAAACTGTTGAAGTGGAAAATAAAATTGAATTAAACTTTCTTGTATGCTGTGTTTGTGGCATGTATTAACAATGTCTATGGTGCGGACATGTCCTTGGCTTTTTTCACCAAAAAATCTCAGCTCCCGGCATTATGGAAGTTAATTATTTTTGTGGCAAGCTGTACTGGGGCACTTGAAAATTGTCTGAATTTTAATCCTCCCCTAAAGGTGTGGGAGGTAATCAGTCTTTCCATCTGCCCTAAGGGAGCATGTGCAGGAGTGGGGACTCTAGCCCTTTTACAAATGTTTCTTCCTTTCCACCTCCCCACCCAAATCTTCCATCCACCCATGTTTTTTGACTGGTATATGTGAGGGAGATAGTAGATCATTGTCCTCCTTCATCCTATCCCCATTAGAGTGCTTAACCATAGAGACACTGTTTGCTTCCATGCTCAAATTCTCAGTGCAATGGGAAAGGGCTCTTGCAACATCACTTCCTCCATTCTGAGTCACGTCGGCTACGTCTACACTAGCCCCAAATTCCGGAAAAGGGATGCAAAGCAGGTAAGTCAGAATAGGGAAATCCGCGGGGGATTTAAATATCCCCCGCGGATTTAAATAAACATGTCCGCCGCTTTTTTTCCGGCTTGGGGAAAAGCCGGAAAAAAGCGTCTAGACTGGCGCGATCCTCCGGAATAAAGCCCTTTTCCGGAGGATCGCGCCAGTCTAGACGCTTTTTTCCGGCTTTCCCCCAAGCCGGAAAAAAAGCGGCGGACATGTTTATTTAAATCCGCGGGGGATTTAAATATCCCCCGCGGATTTCCCTATTCTGACTTACCTGCTTTGCATCCCTTTTCCGGAATTTGGGGCCAGTGTAGACGTAGCCCTAATGTTTGGTATTTGTTGCTAAATGTTGTTTAAATGATGCACCAGAAATGTAGAAACAATTCAGTCTGTTTGAGAAATAAACTGTGAGGGAGTGTAGGTTTGATGTAAAAGTGGATTATTTCTCTGGATACCCCAGCCTCTCCCCTTCCCCACAAAAGTCAGCGAGTCTCAGGATGTGTCTACACAGCAAAGTTATGTTGGAATAATGGCCATTATTCCAAAATAACTATGCGAGCATCTACACAGCAATTCTGTTAGTTCAAAATAATGGACAACTTATTCTGACTTCTGTAAAATTCATTCTATGAAGAATAACACCTATTTTGAAATAAGGTGTGTGTAGAAGCTCCACTTCTGCTATTTCGAAATAGAATGGCCCTGGTGAGGAGCTAAGTTATTCCTCCTCAGACTCTAAATTGAGATAGCACATCTAACATTAGGGAAGCCTGCCTCAGACTAATTTTGAGGCTTCTCTGTAGTGTGGATGTTCTATTTCAAAATAAGCTATTTCAGAATAAATATTCCGGGATAGCTTATTCTGAAAGAACTGTGCAGTGTAGACATAGCCTCAGAGCCTAGGTCAATGGATGGATTCAAAGCACGCTCTCATGCAAGCTAAAAATAGCAGTGTAAATATCCATTCTGTGTGGGGTGGAGGTGGCTGGCAGCTGCTGCCTTGAGCTGGAGTGCTTGCTGCCCCTTGTCATTCTGAGATGTAACTGTCCCTGTTATCACATTCCTTTTTTTCCATTTGATGAGATACATTCCATGCACATCCCATTGTCCTGGCACAACCAAACCCTGACTTTTAAGTTATGATAAGAGGAAGCTGCATGCCAAATTTGGTGGCCCTAGCTGTTATTGTTTAGGAGCTTTCTTGAACAAAAGGACTCTGACAGACACACACACACTCTCTAATATATAGGAGTCTCTATGGAAAAAGTGCAGGAGCTGACATTCATCATGACTTGCATCTTCACTGTAAGTTCCAATGCATTACTTCACTTGGCATCCACAACAACCTTTAAACACTGAACATAGCATTTGTGGGTGGGAAGTGGGGGGCTCTCCTGTTGGCTATAGGCAGCTCATATTAGTGTTAGCTCCTCAGTGCTAGATGAAGGCCTCTTACTTCACAATGGGCATTGTAAATTCCAGCTGCTGGCCTTCTGATTGCTGACTGCTATGCTACTGACTAGTGAAGTAATGGTGTATGTATAATTTACACAGTGTACGTGTATCATCTCTGTACTTGCATAGACTCCTTTTGTATTTTCCATTCTGTTTCTATGCTGATCAGTGTTGAGAATGGATGTTATTCTGCCATTAAATCCAGGAGTTAATGTTATTTTGATTAATATTAAACAATTTTTCTTAGTTTTCAAAGTATGGTAATTTCTATACACTGTCTCAGAAGTTGTGTATACAGAACAAACAGCTTCAACAGCATGAGGAAGTTTCCCCTTTCCCCATTTTAGGAAGTTAAAGTACATCAGGATACTGGGCATTTTTTTCCAGGCTTACAACAAGCAAGGGCAGATATTGTGAATTGCCTTTACTAGATTAGGAGAAAATATGTTTTCCCCTGAGGCCAAAAAACCTCAAACACCAAAGAAGTCCCTTCCTCCACCCCAAAGTATCTGGAGGATAAGTTCAATAACAGAGCAAAAGCCTTGCAGGAGAATACTGATGGTTTTCTATTGAGGGCTGGACTTCTTCTGTTAATTACCCTATTTCTCTAGTGCTTCAAAATTCAGTTTGTCAAAATATGTACAGTAAGAAGCACAGTAAGGATGAGATTTTTGTGTCACAAAGAAATCAACTACTAAAATGTTGTTTCCATCTAAAACTACAATTTAGATGCAAATGTATTATTGACTAGATCCTGGGAATACTAAAACATGTTTCTTTTTCGGGAGGGGAGGGGCGTTCATCCAGCTCAAATTAACAATATATGGTCAGTAAAGCAAGATAACTTACCAAATTAAAGATTCATATTCAGGTTTAGGAGTAATGAAGAAATTACTAGCTGTTGTTCAGCCTTGAATTGTGATGCAATAAAAGCTAATTCATAGTCCAATTCAACCCCTCGTGTTTGATTTATAGTGGACAGGTGAATTGGTGTCGGTTGGAATTAAAAGAAACCAAATGCCGGAGATCTGAATGTTTATTTAAAACATGAATGTCTCTCCTGTGTCTGTGAAGATAATATTAAAGATGAGCAGTAAGTGCATAGGTGCTGGAACTACAGATGTTGGGAGTGCTGCCCCCATTCTCTGGCTTGAAGTGGTTTATAGTTTGGTTCAAAGGCAGACAACTGCATTATTTGAAAAAAATTATTCTAGCACCACAAAGTGTAAATGAGGGGTGAGGAACCTTAGGCCTGGGGGCTGGATGCAGCCCCTGGCTTCCTTGGATGTAGTTCCCAAGGCTCAAGGTCCTCCTCGGCATTGGAGAGCCCACGCTGGCACTTCACACAGCCCCCTCCTGCTGCCCTGCCACAGGGCTAGAGAACACAAAATCCACTAAGCTAGGCCTCTATAGGAATGTGGGGATTGTCTCTCTTTCTCCTCCTCAGTCAGGGGCCTCAGAGAGGGTTGATTTTTTTTTTTAGGTGTGGCTTCTCACTTGTGTGTGAAAAACTGATTTTTCCAGGGGTTAGTGGCTCCCAACCCCCCAAAAAGGTTCCCCAGCCCTGGTGTAAACTAGTGGTTTGGTTTTTGCTGAGTCTTTGGACAGGCTAAAGTTCTCCTTGGCTTCTGAGGATAAGACAAGAAGCAATGGGCGTAAATTGCAACAAAGGAAGTTTAGATTGGACACTAGTTTTGGGGTCACTAGGCATGATCCTCGGGGGAGTGGAAGGTCACAAGTACCGATGAAGCGCCCCCACTCTAGGCCCAAGCACCCTAAAAGCACCCCTCTTCCCCGCCCCTTCCCCCCCAGGCATAACTTTTCTCTGGCTCGCTAATAGCTGGGAACGCCAAGACAGACCTTGAAGTTGCCTAGTTACTATCAGTGGTATAGAAGAAGCAAAATGCAGGACAATGGAGCACTTTAAAGCCTAACAAGATGGTTTATTAGATGATGAGCTTTCGTGGGCCAGACCCACTTCCTCAGATCGAATAGTGGAAGAAAATAGGCACAACCATGTATACCAAAGGATACAATTAAAAAAAATGAACACATATGAAAAGGACAAATCACATTTCAGAACAGGAGGGAGATGCGGGGGGAAGGAAGGTAAGTGTCTGTGAATTGATATTAGAGGTGGGGAGAGTGGGATGTTTGTGAGCTAATGGTATTAGAGGGGATAATTGGGGAAGCTATCTTGGTAATGGGTAAGATAGTTTGAGTGTTTGTTCATTCCTTCTCGGAGAGTGTCGAATTTTAACATGAATGACAGTTCAGAGGATGCCCTTTCAAGTGCAGATGTAAAAGGTCTTTGTAGCAGAATGCAGGTGGTTAAGTCATTGAGAGAGTGTCCTTTCTGGTTAAAATGGCAAGAAACTGTTTTTTCTTTGTGATCTTGTCTGATATCTGTTTTGTGGGCATTAATCCTTTGGCGAAGTGTCTGAGATGTTTGTCCAATGTACATAGCAGACGGACACTTTCGGCACAATAGCATAAATTATATTTCTGGATGCGCAGGAATGTGTGTTCTTGATCTTATAACTCACTTGGTTAGGTCCAATAATGGTATCAGCAGAATGAATATGTGGACAAAGCTGGCAACGGGGTTTGTTGCAAGGGAAGGTACCAGGGTTGGTATTAGTGTGGTATGTCCTGTGGTTGGTGGTAAGAATCATCTTGAGGTTAGGTGGTTGTCTATAGGAGACTATGGGTCTGTCTCCCAGAGCCTCTTGGAGTATGGTATCCTGTTCCAGTATAGGCTGTAGTTTATTGATAATGTGTTGGACAGGTTTAAGTGGGGGGTTGTAGGTGATGACAAGTGGTGTTCTATTTTTGGTTTTCTTGAGTCTGTCTTGAAGTAGATGGTTTAGAAGTAGATGGTATAGAAGAAGAATTCAGATGTCTCTGTAGAGGGGAGGAGGAGGCAGCATGTCCCAGCGTGGGAAACTTGCTACAGTTCACTATTTTCCTGCAAGTAAACAACCTGGGTATATAAGGAGGGAAAACTGCTTACGTTGGTGTGCTTGATCTGAGATGTCTA